GAGGATGTGGGCCAGGTCAAGGCAAGCTGCGGGCTGGATGGGGCCCGCGGGCCGTCGGTTCCCCACCCCAGTCTCAAAACCGAACTGAGCAATGAAGTGGAGCAGGAGCTTTGCTGGGACGTCACTTCAGTAGCTTCGTGGCCTTCGTGTCCTCCCCGAGGCTGCGCGAGGAGGTGACGTGCAGGGGACAGGGCAGAGCAGCTGACTGCTCCGGAGGGGGTCACGTTCAAAGCCTGGGAACTAGCCAGCCCTTCTGCGGGGTAATACTTCCAGCCTAGCCGGAGGAAGGCCCGAGTTGTAAGAAGCGCATCTTGTGGCCGCCCAGACTCTGACCTTTGGGCCTTTCAGGGACCATGCTGGGGGTAACGAGAAGCTTGTGAAGATGGAGTCTGGGCTAAGAGTCTATGGGGGAGACAACCGCGTGGGAGCCCTGACGCAGAAAGTGTCGCACTTGACGTCCTTCCAGGTAACAAGCAAACACGTGTCTCCCGCTGAGAGCTGGCCGGACTCGTGTCTACGTAGACATCCCCTCCAGGGTTCAGAGCCCATACCATGCTCCGCTCCCTGCTCTGCCACGGACTCCCAGCGACCTTGGGCAAGTCACTGTGCCTTTGTTTCGCATCTGCCCTGGGGGATCGTACCACTGTCCTGGCTCACAGCAGGGCGGGGAGGGTAAATGCATTGGATTGTGAGGTGCTGGTGGTGGAGACCACTCGTTTAAAAATGAGCTGCTGTCGGTCAGCCATGTGTGCAGTAAATAGCCCTGTGGCAGTGTTCCCTGTAAGCTGAGCGCCTGGGCGGCCACCCAAGACAGGTGCAAATGCTGCCCAGCTGATTAGCCGAGTGCCCACAGCTGGCAGCGTGTGTTTCTACTGGTGATGCACGTCTGCACCTAACAACATTTATTCCACACATGGATGAAAAAAGATAGAGGAAACATTGCCACCTAGCCTGCTGAGTGGGCAGTTGAGTGTGTGTCCAGGTATATAGCTCGCTTTCCCCATTCTTGGCAGTAGGGATGTGAAGGACAAGTCAACTAGTCAACCACCTGATAAGCAATTCATCTCAGATAGTCGATAGGCTAGGTGACTAGTCGCTTCCCTCCCCCCTTTCTGCCTCTTAAGAGAAAGAGGCAGCAAGTGCAGGCGGAAGGGGAGGGACAGAACAGGGGGCGTTTCAAAGTGGCAACGCCATGTGGAGCCCAAGTCCCCAGCTGACCCCAGGCTCCGTGCGGTACCGCTGCTTTGAAACACCGCGTGGAGGCTGACACCGGGCTCTCTGCGGCATTTCAAAGCGGCAGCGCCACATGGAGCCCAGGGTCCGCTGGGGACTGCCTGAGCCCCCCGTTGGCCCATGGTCCCCACAGTGCTTTTGCCTTGGGAGATTGCATCGACTAGTCGATTAGCCAAATAATCGAAATTTTACATCCCTACTTGACAGTAGCTGTTTACACTTGACTAACTTGCCTGGGTTTTGTATGTGTCTCGATCTGTTTGCTTGGCCTCGCTCACTGCCAACCAGAGTCCCTGTGTGTAATGGAAGGAAATGAAGTTCCCCTTTGTACCCGCTGAAGTAACGCGCTTGATTATCTCGCAAGCTGCCCTCGCCGAACGCTTGCTGGACTCCATGGCAACCTGACTTGCGCTCTTTACTCTACAGCTTTGAGAACTTGCCTGCCAAATTTTGTGCCATCCTCCATCTAGAAACCCCTCGAGTTAAACTCCCAGGCAACTTCAGTCTGTTTGCCTTCCCCTCAGGTGGGATCGCTTCATGTGAAATGCCTCTCGACGCCGTGTCACACGTCTGGACACATCTGTTACTACGTGACCAAGCCTAATAGTTCGGAGCCCCCGGCTGTCTTTACAGGTGAGGAGCTGGGTGGTTTCTTTTGCCTTGTCTCTGTGCAGCTCATGCAGATCTTTCCTCTGCTCGTCTCCTGATTATCCGGATTCTGGTTCTTTTCCTGTTACACTCGTGGCTCTCTTAGCGTGGGCGCCACGTGTCTCTTGTGACATGTGACCAGGCTCCATCATGGAATTTGGGCTGCTCATTGGGTCACCAGCTCCCCGGGGCTGTTTACTGCTAGGGAGAGCAATGGGAACATTGGGGAAAAGTTCAGAAAAGGGCAACAAAAATGAGGGGTTTGGAACGGCTGCCTTATGAGGAGAGATGAATCAGGCTGGGACTTATCACCTTAGAAAGGAGGAGACTTGGGAGGGAGGGAGGATATGATAGAGGCTTATGTCATGTCGGGAATTATCTCCTGCCATGTGCTATCTAGGGTCTTCTCTGGCTGTCCTACCGTGTCCTGTCCCCTCTCCCAGGTGACACGCTGTTCGTGGCCGGCTGTGGGAAGTTCTTCGAAGGGACCCCAGAAGAAATGTACAAAGCTCTGATCGAGGTCTTAGGCCGCCTGGACCCTGAAACGGTACCTAGCTTTCCAGGCGCGTCAGCAGCCTAACCCAGCTCCATCTATTACAGACTGAAGAAGCAGCCACCTTCCTGATACCAGGTTGCCCAAAATGGTTGCGTGAGCTTTCAGAATGCCTGAGGGTGATGTCCAGGGGCTGTCTGGCATGTAGAAAAGCCAGGGCTCTGTGGAGAAGGGTCACACAAACATGTTTAAGTCCATCAGAAGCAAGATGCCCGTTCAACCGCCATTGGGGCCACTGGATGGCCAAGGTGCTACCGCCACTGGTGCCACTGGATGGCCAAGGTGCTAAAGGAGCATTTGAGAACGGCAAGGCCGTTGCGGAGGAACTAAACGAATCCCTTGCATCGGTCTTCACAGCTGAGAATGTGAGGGAGATTCCCACACCTGAGCTGTTCTTTTTAGCTGAGGCGTGTCTGAGGAGCTGTCCTAAGGCCGAGGTCTCCTTGGGGGATGCTTTAGACCCCATTGATACGTTAAACTAGTAAGTCACTAACACCGGGTGGTATTCACCCAAGAGTTCTGAAGAAGCTCAAATGTGAAATTGCAGCAGGACTGTCGTAGCCTGGCACCTGGACGTTAGAGTAGCGCCTGTACCGAACGGTGCTTTGAGGTCCTGCGATGGAAAGCACTCACTTTGTTTGTTTGCCTTCTCTTAGAGAGTTTACTGTGGTCACGAATACACCATCAACAACCTCAAATTTGCCCGTCACGTTGAACCCAATAACGCTGCCATCCAACAAAAGCTAGCCTGGGCCAAGGTAAGGGAGAGCTTCCTGGTATGAGACTTAGTGGATCGCTGTAATTCTTTGTTTATAGTGGGGTAGACCCCGAGCCCTCTTGTGGATCAAGCCACGGCTCCCCGCAGCCCCTGCCTCAAAGAACTTAGTCGTGTGTGGGACAAGATGCCCGTCGGTTTCTTCGGCTCCCTGGTCACAACCGTAATGAGGCCATGTGGGGCAGAGGTAGCGTGTGCGCTAAGGATGTTAAATGTAGTTGAATCGACGAGTCGATCAGCGGGCTAGTCCCCGGTCCCAGGATCGAACCCCACCTGCCGACTCCATACATTGAAAAGGCTGAAGCGTAGCAGGGGGTACCCAATGCAAGCCAGGACCGGGATTGCCGGCTCGTGCCTGGTCCCCGCTACCCTCCCCTCCCCCCCCGCGGATACGGCATTGGCGCAAAACAGCTTTTAAGCCAACCCCCCCCCAGCATCGGCTCCTGCTTCTCTCCCCCCACACCCTCCTCCGCTGCTTCTAATAGTGGCAGTAAGGGGCGGGGAGCGACTAGTCGAGGGACTAGTCGACCATACTATAAGCTTCTGCTTATCAGATAGTCGACTAGTTGCTTCCATCCCTAGTGTGCACCCAGTCGAAGTACTGCGGGGATGGTGGGTGTAGCCGAGTGTGGTTGGTGGGAGGGGCAGGAAGGCTGAGAGAAGTCGAGGGGAGTGGGAAGAGGGCAGTAACAGGGATCATGAGGCTGAGGGCGGTTGCATCCCAGGGGTAAGCCCAACAGTGCGAAGAGAGTCGGGGCTGGCGGCAGTAGCAAGGCAGGTGGGCGGAGCTTGCACATGGCCCCTCCCCCAAAGGGGCCGCAGCCGTAACGTTGCTGGTGGCCACAGCCAGGGGACTTCCCCTCGAAGCACGTGGAGAGAATGGGGCAGAGCGAAGCCAAAGGGGCACTTCAGATGTCGACCCCTGCACTCGGCTTCCCTTAGCTTCTCCCCGTCCCACCTCCCCCGTGTGTGTGTATGGGGGGTGGGGGCTAGTCCTGGTATGAACTGGGCCGGAACGGGGCCACTCGGCGCCTGCCCGTGTCTTGCTCCTGTGGAATGCTGCCCGTCGGTGTCTGGAGGAGGGTTACGCCGTTTCTCCTCGGAGGAGTCTGGCCTGTGGCTGGCCCGTGCCCTCAGAACACTCGGGCCACGTCTACACTAGGACACGATTTCGAAATTAGCAAATTCGACGTCACTCCCGATTGAACACATTCGAGCTTAGCGTGTCCCCACGACGGGGAAGCCTCGAAACGAGTCCCAGGCAGGCTCCGTTCCTGTGGACCCGCTACCTCAGACTGAGAGCCCCAGGAAGCACTGGGGAGTCATGACTTCGATTGACTCTGGGGCGTGGTTATTTCGAAATAGTGGCACCGCAGCGTCCACACGGCCGCTATTTCGAAATAACGCTGTTGGAATGAAGTGACTCCCGATGAAAGGCAGGCGTACAGCTTTCACATTCCGTGGCCCGTTCTTTCAAAACGGTGGTGCGGACATTCTGCTGATAAATTCAGTTGTGAGCGGGGAAGGGGGCTTATTTTGAAATCAAGCCCTAGTGTAGACCGGGGCTCAGAGAAGACACTAGGACGGTCAATGCTTTACTGAAGGTCATTGCTTTTAACGTCTGTACCCGACCTCACAGGAAACCTCTCCCCTTTTACAGGCAAAATATGACAGCGGCGAACCCACCATCCCATCGACTATTGCGGAAGAGTTCACATACAACCCCTTCATGCGCGTGAGGTATCTGCGTGCGCACCGCTGGGCCTGGGTTCTGGGGGGAAGGGGCGGAGGGCGCAACCTCTTAAAGAGAAGCAACAGTCGACGCTTCTTGCGCTCTTTCATCGGCACGGTCCAGCTGAGCCGGAGTCGCCTGCCCTAACAGGTTGCTTGTTATTCTGGTATCACTAACCTGTTCCATTCTGCGACCTCCTCGCCATGATTAAATAACTGGCATTTTTGAGAAGACGTGAATCAGCAGAGCGAAGGGGTGCCGGCTGGCTGAACCTAAGCCCCACTCTAAACTAGGGAGTTATTTCGCGATAACCCGCCTGATTCCGAAATAATACGTGGAGCCTCCACACGACCAAGCCCGTTATTTCGAGCTACCGGGTTGCTTCTTTTGAAATCCGTTCTCCTGCTTTCCTCGGGGAATAACGCTGATTCCAAAATCACAGTCATCTGGACGCTCTGCTGCTATTTCGAAATAACGACTCCCCGGAGTCATTCGAAGTAATTATTCCCGGTGCTTCCTGTGGCTCTAAGTCGAGGTAGCGCGTCCGCAGTAACGGAGCCTGCCTCGGACTCATTTTGAGGCTCCCCCGTAATGGGGACACGCTAGTTCGACTTTGTTATTCTGGGAGTTATTTCGAATTTAGTTATTTCCCAGTGAAGACAGGTTCTGAAAGTTGTAACCCTGGATGCTTTCTTTGAGTGGCATATTCCTGTGCAATTTTAGAATACAGAGAGGTAAGCATCCCCGCTCGGCTTGCTGGTTTTAACACCTGCCATCGATTCCGGCTGCCGATTGCATCTTTTAAAAAATTCTTAAGCTAGTTGTGAACGCCAGCTCTCCGGTCTGAGTGCTAATATTTCTGGTTACTCTTTAAAATTTAAGTCTTATGGTAGGGAAATGCTATTGGCTTTTCTCTTTCTCTTCTGCTAGAGAGAAGACGGTCCAGCAGCATGCGGGGGAAACCGATCCCATCCGTACGATGGGAGCCATCAGAAAAGAGAAGGATAATTTCAAGGTACCAAAGGACTGAGACCTTTACCGGAACCACTTCCACGTCAGTTTCACCCTGTGTTAGGAACTAGAAGTTTCATTGTCTGTTGTGGTGGTGATGCATTCACTGTTAGGTTTTCTAATGGTCTTAAGTGGGGGGGAAAAGCACTTTGTTCTTGTTGAGATGTTCTATGGCATATTTATAAGATGTTAAAAAATATTTATTCCTGGCTGCCTGATGCAGGGAGGTTTTGCATGAAT